CCACCGATTGTGGGAGCTCTGTCGGGACTCAGGCGGAGTCCTGGAGGCAGGGAACTRAGTGGTAAACCCTTGACTCCCTCTATAAACCCARCTATAACCCCTACTTGTACATCTTTYTATGGTTTGAMYGAGTGTACTGCGTGATTCCTGTACTCTGATTTTGGTTTGGYTGTCAGGACCTAAGTCARACGRAAATAAAGGAGTGTGTGTGCGATCTCAATTTCAGGTTAGTTGATTGCCTGAAAGCAGATTATGAATGAGATGGGTGCATCCGGGGGAAGGCTGGGAGGGAGGCAGTTTGTGTGCAGTCTGACTGGGTCATTAAGGCAGGGAGGTCCCCTTAAGTTTGGGGAAGCCCAGTGTTTTGTTTGTTTTTGGTGTGCTTGGAGCCTCAGACCGCTCTATAAGTTTAGGTAGCCTGAAGCTCTGGAGGCTGGATGTCCCCATAAGTTTGGGGAGACCTGATGCTGTGAATTGCTTGGAGGGTCAGGACGCTCTATAAGCTGTCTCTTATACACATCTAGATGTGTATAAGAGACAGGTTTGTGTGCAGTCTGACTGGGTCATTAAGGCAGGGAGGTCCCCTTAAGTTTGGGGAAGCCCAGTGTTTTGTTTGTTTTTGGTGTGCTTGGAGCCTCAGACCGCTCTATAAGTTTAGGTAGCCTGAAGCTCTGGAGGCTGGATGTCCCCATAAGTTTGGGGAGACCTGATGCTGTGAATTGCTTGGAGGGTCAGGACGCTCTATAAGTTTAGGTGTCCTGGCTGCTCTGACTTGTGAGGGTTTGATTGTGGGTGGCTTTCAGGAACCCAAGGCGCTCTATAAGTTTAGGTACCTTGGGTTGCCTTGCTTTATTTGGGGCTCTCCCGATTTCTTTGGTTATGAACAAGGAGGTTTGAACCGCTCTATAAGTTTAAGTGGTTCAACCCTTTTCTTGTTTTGTTTCAAGGGAGTAATTCTGGCAAGGGACAGGACGCTCTATAAGTTTAGGTAGCTTATCCCACTGCCTCGCACAGATTGGATCAGAGAGAAACGAACCTGGCTGAGGATCAGACCGCTCTATAAGTTTAGGTAGTCTGACCCAATGCCTCGCACATGTAGGAACCTAATTGATATAATTTGGCTGTATTGTATTACTATGCTATTACGAACAGGCTGGTCAGACCGCTCTATAAGTTTAGGTAGCCTGACTATAGCTTATCATAACTGAAAAGAATACAACTAAAGAGATATAATTGAAAGTAAACTTGGGCAGGCTGAGCAGGGTTCTAAGTTGAGCGGCTCAGCCTTATGTCCCTTTGAAGACTAAGTTCAGAGAGATATATAAAATTTGACTATTCAAACAGTTAAGGGCGACTAGAGTGGTCTAGTCATATGCCCAAAGAAAAGAGAAGTAGTTGTGCCCTCTGTTTGTGTATACCTGGTCAAATCAGAACGCTCTATAAGTTTAGGTATTCTAACTTTGGGCCTGGCTAAGTTGGGTGCGCTCTGTATGTTCAGGTGCCCTGACCTATGCCTTATGTAAGTTGGGTATGAGGGGATAACTCATTAAGAGATCATGAACTATGGTTTGTTCAGATTGGCTTGGGGATGGTGAGGGTACTTATCCCTGTGGTTTGGCCTGCATGTGGCTGAGTGAGGTTACTACTTGGTTTGAGTTTCAGGTTGACAGGTAGTTGCTTTAGAGACTCGCAACGTGCTAGAGCAATAGGAGTCGGTTCAATTCCTGCATTTTCTGGGCCGACTTTACTTAGATCAATTTTTGCATTTCCTGGGATCTTTTGTTATACTTGGCTTTGTATAAATTTTGGCAAGTTACTTTCTCTACGGGAAGCGCTGCCAAAACTTCTACGAATCCAAGGAGTTAGTCAACTTTTAACTTGTCAAAGTTCAACTTATCTATTCTTTATATCTGACTTAGGAAAAATTTGGAAAGTCTCATTTTTTAAAAGGAGTACTGCCCTTTTTGCTAATTCAGGGGGTTAGGCAAAATTGGACTTTGAGAAGTCAGACTTATTTTTAGATTCATAACTTAGCCTTGTATAAATTCTGGAATAACACTTCTCTAAAGGGAATGCTGCCGAAATTTTTGCAAAACTAAGGAGTTAGTCAAAACTTGTCTAAATTGAACTCAAGTTGCCTTGTGAGTTCATATCTGACCTAGTATAAATCTGGGAAGTCTCCCTTTCTAAAGGAGGTGCTCTAAAAATTTCTACTGATTTAGGGAGTTAGACAGAATCTGGCTTTCCAGAGTTGGAGATTATTTCTGTTTTCATATTTGCGATGATATAAACTTTGGAGAGACACTTTTCCTACGGGAAGCGCTGCCGAAATTTTCTTGATTTAGAGGAGCTAGATTATATTTTGACAGATGGCGATTCTGGCGATCCACCCTAGATAGGGGAGATTCAGTCAGGGTCTGCCTTCGTTTTGGACACCGCCTCGAGGTAGATTCAGGCTTAGCTTGCTAGGAGGATTTGAGTGAGAGTATGTTATGGAGTTGTATTCTCCATACGCTCATGATCTCAGCTTAGGGATTAACCTGTCATGTGTTACAGGTCATCTTGATCGCTCGATTCAAAATCAAAACTAGATTCAACTTGATCCCTGGAGGATCGTCTTCAATTATCACTGATAACAGGTCGGTTGCCGATTCGTCGGTCTTCGACTCAATTTCAACTCATTCCCCATACTCAACCTAAAAGGCTTTAGCCCTGGTGGTTTTTACTGTTTGTTAAGGGTTTCACCCGGACTTTTATTGAATGGTCATTTAACAAAGGTACAGAGTATTTAATTGAGGTTGGTTGGGCTGGCAGTTGGGGCTTGCATGGCTAAAGTGAAGGGGTATGAGCATAGAGAATGGTTGGGGTTGACTCCGTGTAGTGCGTGTTTTGTCACTTGATTCTTGGTATGGTTGCAGGTATGTCCTGTGGCTCGGATTTTGGATTTGGACTGCCTGCGATTCCATATACATATACATGGTTGTGAGGAGTCTCACTGTGCCTGTGAGAAGTGATCGTCATAACTCTATCCCCCCTTCTGTGTGTATGTGTGGATATACGTATGATAAGTGTTCGGGGGACCAAAAAGACCATGTTAGCAACTGCGTGAGAGCTGGGATTGAGGGACAGGGAAAGACCCTCCCTCCTGCCTATTTTGCGTCTTGGGGCTTTCTTAGTCGGACGTTGGTCCTGGGCCGGGATTCGAGGTCCTTGTCCAGGACATCCCAAGCCCTAGGCCCTGAAGAGGAGGGGTCCCCCCTTGCATGTAGCCTATTTACTTTGGCCGGCGGGACACTCCACCTTAAAAGCGGGAACGTCACGAGGGCCGAACGGCGTGTCCTTCAGCCGTTCAATATCGTGAGGGGTAACCCCTCGCAATGAGTTCCTTCAGCCATTCAATATCCCGAGGCCTAAGCCACGGTTACCACATATAATTGGCATCAGTGGTTGGCATAGGGTTGGCCTGTGGCCGCGCAGTTTTATACCAGAGTCCTGCGCGCAACGCCTCGCCGCCCCGACGTCTAAAAGTTATGGGACCGTCGGGCTTGCGCGTAGGCGCAGCGCTTAGGGTTATTATAGGCCGCCGGCACCGCCCATAGAGGGGAAGTGTGTTCCAAGACCATGAGTTTTTGTTTTAAGGGCCAAGAGACTTTTGCCCTATCCCCTCTTCTTGGGTTCGTGCGAGTCTTGTTGCTTTTTAAGATTTTTTTTGGTTGGACGTTGTAGTCCGTGGCAGCCGTCAAAGTCAAACCCTTTGACTTTCGCCCAGGCCCCGGGGAGGACTCACCCCTAGGGCCATGAGAGACGACTAGCACCACAAGCATGGGTCTGTGTACCACCCACTCTGCATAAGGGTGCAGAAGAGGGTGTGTGGTCTTCAACCGCGCATGGAGGTTGTCCAGCGTCGAGAGATTAACCCTCAAGGCGTGTGTCAGCCGACACTAAAGTGTCGAACACGACCCTCGAGATTAACGAGGACCGCACGAGCATGGGTACCACGTGGTACGCTATCATTGCGACCGCTTGCGTGCACTTGCATCACGAGTCGATACGAGTTAGCCCCGCGTCCGCGCGATTTTTATATTAAGTCTCGCGCGCGACGCCTATCCTATTTCCGCGTCGGGAAGTTATGGGTTGACTACTGAGGGGCTAGGAGCGTTGCCACGTTGTTTGCGTTGTGTCGTTCCGTGTGTATGTGTGTGTGTTGTTGTCATGTGGTTGTGGTGTGCGCGTGGGGTGTGGGATGCGTCCTAGTCGACCGACGACGAGTCGCGCTTGGGACTTCAGCCCCCCAAGATGTCGGTTCGCGTGCGGGTCCGATAGGCGTATTACCGCGCGTACCCCCCATGCTACAACGAATGAGAAACGCCATCGGCTGGTCCACCTCTGCGATTGCAACCGAGTAGCTTTCGTATTGTGGACTGGTAGCTCGGTGGGGATACGCCCACCGAAGGGAGGTGACAGGTCCCGTAAGGTGGAGGTAAGTTGTGCCTCACGTAGGCCCTATCCTGTCGTAGGGGCTCGCGAGAGGTATGGTTGGCGCACTCAGCCGGAGCGGCCTAAGGAAGCTCTTTTTGTGTGTTCGCGACGAGGTTAGTCCAACTCCTGCGTGACGCGGCCAAGAGGGTCCCACGCTGCCGCGCGCGGTGCCGGACCGATGCGCTCAACAGGTGACGCCGTTGCCGGGGATAACGGAAGCCTACCGTTGTCCTTAGTGGAACGACATCCGGGTATGGGAGTAAGAGAGGAACCAGACATATGAGTGAGTAAGAGGAGGGCTATGAGGTGTACTGTAAGGTGGTCTATACGACTGTGGATTGAATGATTGATTGACTGGCGGCTTGGTTGACGGTTGAATGTTGTATGTGGAAGAGGAAGTTTTATGGTGAGGATAAGTGTTATCTAGGTGAGTCCAAAGGAAGTAGGAGAAGGAATGTCTGCCAGGTCTAGAGTGTGGGGTGTCTAAGGTGGTCAACCCGATAGGGTCATGAAAGGTTGAGTCGCTGAGTGGGGTCCTCTGTCCCATCGTCTCTTATAACAGGAAGATTGAAGTCGAAGGTGGTTGGCCAAGATGCCAGAAGAGATGGCGGACGGTGGGAGGAAGCTTGTGACGCTCGATGACCTCATCGATGCCCTGGACAAACGCAAGAGGGCGCCAAGCAATGTCCCAAAGGTCGAGACATTCCACTTCAAAGGGGATCGGGTATCTGATTGGCTGGATCTGACAGAGCAGGCGTTGGTGGGACTGTCAGATGAGGTCAAGCTCCAGCGGGTCCTGAGGTATGTCGTGCACAGTCACCATCGGGAAGTAACTAAGGTTGTGGACGCCGCCGGTGGCAGTTGGGCAAAGTTTGGAGACCTAATGCGCAGGAAGTATAGGCTGGGGGACGGCCTGCTGACCATGGCCGACTTGGAGGCCATGAACAAAGAAGACTTCTCTATCATTGGGGCGTTTGTGCACGAGATCAAGAAAAGGGCGAGGAAAGTGCACGAGATTTCTGAGGAAGCGCAGTGCGCCACATTTTTTGGGCTACTTACAGGCTCGGAGGCCACAGAGCTGGCGAAGTATGGGGAAGGAAGCGAGAGGCTCACCTGGGCAACCATTGACAAGGGAGTGGAAGAAGGGAGCCTGGACCAGGTGGAGCAGCACCAAATGAGGCTGCAAAGGCGCAAGAGGAAGGAGAGGGATGTTACTACATCTGAGACCCCAGGGGTGAAGAGAATAGTCACGGACGTGTTGGCGGCACTGGGGTATGATAGTGAGGCAGAACTACAGAAAAGAGTGGTGGCAGTGGCCCAAGGCCGGGCGTCAGRAGTAGGAGATGAGGAGGCAGGGCGAGAAGACTACGGCGGAGGGGAGACGGGCTCCCAARCCCTGACTAAGGCCCAGAGGAAGCAGCGTAATCTGCTACTGGGGGGACAGGGATCAGGGAAAGGGCAGGCTCCCCAAGCCCTTGCCGCACTACCACCTGTCGCCGCGGCCGCCCCAGAGCTTGCGCCAGCCGGATCATCGCACATGGGGCCGCCACCATCTTGTGGATACTGGGTGCCGCATTGCCAATCTACGCCCTGGCCCAGTTGTAACCACTGCGTCTCGTGTGGAGGGAGTTAGGCCCACGCGGGGCACATGGCCCCCTATTCAGGCCCATCCACAGGTATGGGCCCCCCGAGCTACCCGGCGACTCAAAGCCAGCCCGTGACTCAACCGCCGTCCTCCCAGCAGGCCTCGCAAGCTAGTGTGGCCGGGGGAGGAGGCCAAGGACAAGGCGAGCAGGGCAATGGGGGTCGGGGCCAAGGAGGTAGAGGAGGGGGCGGTTGGGGGCGAGGAGGAAATAGTGGAGGCCGTGGAGGAGGCTGGAATGGTCAAGGGGGTCAGAACCAAGGGGGCCAAGGTAGCCAGGGAGGGGGTCAAGGGTATGGGAGGCCCCGCTTCGACTGGCGGAGCGCAACTTGTTGGCATTGTGGCGAGGTGGGCCACACCGTACGATTCTGCCAACAGCGGCGGGACGACGAAAAGGCAGGATTAATCTCCACCTGTATGGACGGAGATATATACGACCGGTGGGGAACGCACATTGACCCCAAGACCCCGGGAGGAATCAGGCAGGAAGCCCTTAGGCGGGCAACGGCCGGGCCTTCAGCAGCCCCAGCAATGTTTAGGATATGGCAGGAGAGGCAAGACCCCGGCGTAAGAGTCGAGGAGATTGTGGATGAAAATGAGGAAGTAACTCAGCGGTTGAAGGCGGGGACTATAAAGGAGGAACCCATAGTTGTGGAGTCTGACGATGAGGCGCAGGAAGTGGTGAGAGAGCCAGCCTCGACCATCCTGGAGAGGATGGAGGACCTGCTTGCAAAGGTCGGCAGGTATCAGGATCGATTAAGGGCAATGTGTGAAAAGGTCCGGGAATGGAAACTGAACCTTCCTGAGGTAATGCTCTATGGGTCCGGCCCGGAGTCATCGTCAGGACCGCAAGGGTGTCCAAGTGTGGCTACGGCTGGGACAGGTCCTAGGTCAGGGATGACCTTCAGACCCCCTACGTCGCATGGAAGGGTACCACAGGCCGCGCAGACTAGGGGCCAAAGTAAGGCTACCACCAGTCAAGGGCCCAGCCAGGCACCCAGTCAGGCGCCCCCTCGAAAGGACCCTGAGCCCGAAGGAAGGAAGGAAGTGGTAAAGGTTCAAGAAGAGGAAGATGAGGGTGATGACGAAGAGGACGAGAGGCTCTGGCAGGAGGAGGACCGGAGGGCGGAACAGAGGACCAAGAAAAGGGGGGCTCAAGGAGGGGCGGAGCCGAGTCTGCATGATGGAGTGCAAAAAAGGAAGAATTACGCAGTCCGGCTGGAGGAAGGCTTTGACGTGGAGCGAATGGTGGATAAGCTCCTGGAGGGCCATAACAATCTGATGAACTTAAAGGACATTTTGGCCTCAGCACCGAGGCTCCGGGGCGAGCTGAAAGGGCGGCTCTCGCGAAGGTTAGTGCCCAATGTCCACCTGAGCTCAATTCTGCCCAGGGAGATAGAGTGGGCAGAGGCGGGCACCAGGATGGACTGGAAATGTGTGGCATGTGGGTTGGTGGACCTGAAGGTGAGGGACCAGCCGAGCATTGCAACGGTGGACACGGGCGCGGAGATGAACATCATCCGGGAGCGGGACGCGACCATGTTGGGGTTGGAGGTCGACCATTCGGACCATAGCGTGTTGCATGGCGCCAACTGTAAGGCCATTTTCTGCGGCACCGCGTCCAATGTGATGGTGGAGATTGGGAGAGTAAAGGCGCGAACGTGCTTCTTCGTCATGCACGACGTCGACCACCCTATTCTTCTGGGGAGGTCGTTCCTCTGCCGAACGGAGACCTTGGTCTTCAACAGACATGAGGGGACGATGATCCTGGCCCTATCTGATCTGGCCTGTGGGAATTATGAAATCATGAAGTGCCGGAACACAGGGCCCGGAAGTGGGAGGAAAAGGCTCAATCTCGGCTCCTTTACCTTTGAGGAGTCTGAGTACGCGCGACGGAGACTCTGGGAGGAGCAGGAGGAGGAAGGAGCGGGCGAAGTATTATCCTTGAGCCTTAATGATGTGAATAAGGCGATGGAGGTGGTGGCGGCGCATGATATGGCGGACCCTGAGGCTATAAAGGCGTTGAGGGAGCAGGTCCTAGAAAGCCCTCAGGTAGGAGAGGTGGAGCTAATCTATCGGCTTTCTGGGAGGAGAGGGGACCCTGCGATGGCCCAGGCCCGAACAACGAGTCGGCCTTTTTTAAGGGGGGGCTTAATCAGGGCTCCCAAAGGCGGTACAAGACTATAGACAAGAAGTGTCGCCCGGTCCCCGTGCTTGTCACGGAGGATGAGGAAGCCTACTACGAGCGAGAGCATGGGCTGGTAAGACGTATGCGGGAGCGTGCACAGGCAGGGCCGTGTCGCATCAATAATGAGAATGAGGAAGGGTTGATAATTGGCGAGCCGGGCTTCCTGTCGCCCCAGGAGAGGACCTTGATGGTGGAGACCATGAGGAGAAGGCATTGCGCGTATGCGTTTAATGATGATGAGTGTGGGAGGTTGGACGTGGATAAGATCTCAATGATACGAATCCATACCGTCCCACACGAGCCATGGAACCTGAAGGGTGCGCGGTATCCGAATCCGGATGAGGAGAAGAAGGTGGTGGATTACTTGGATGGGAAGATGAGGACGTATGTGGTAGATTACTCTAGTGGACCGTATGCTTCCCCCGGGTTTTGTTTTATCAAGCCAAACGGAACGCTACGGTGGGTGCAGGATTTGCAACGATTGAATGCAGTGACGGTGCGGGACGCGGGAGGGTTGCTGAACGCGGACGCCGTCAGAGTCATGCGCAGGAAGGCCTATAATCTCACTTATAGAACTTTACTCTGGGTACGACCAGTTTCCTGTGTACCCACCGGATAGGTCAGTGACGACGATGCATACGCCAAGGGGGCTGATCCACATGAACGTGGCACCTCAGGGGTGGACTAATGTGGTGGCAATGGTGCAAAGGCACATGATAAGGGTCATGCAGACAGTTAGTCCACATATCACGCAGCCCTACATTAACGACTTGGCAGTCAAGGGTCCGAAGGAGAAGGAGGAAGACGAAGTGATGCCAGAAGTGAGGCGGTTTGTCTGGAAGCACGTCCAGGATATCGATCAGGTTCTGGGTCTGCTGGAAAAGCACAACCTTACGGCGAGTGGCCCCAAGTCGAAGCATTGCATGAGGGAGGTCACGATTCTGGGCTTTGTCTGCAACGAGAAAGGGCGGAGGCCAGATGTGAAAAAGACGGACAAGATCCTGGAGTGGTCAGTCCCCTTCCAGTCGATAACCGACGTGAGGAGCTTCCTTGGGACCTGCGGGTTTTGAAGGAGTTTTGTGAAGGATTTCGCCACCAAGACGGAGCATTTAAAGAAAGCTGGTGCGTCAGGATCAGGAATGGGTCTGGGGCGAGGACCAGGAAAGGGTTGTGGAAAGGATGAAGAAAGAATTTAGGGAAGGAGGTTTGGTTCTAGGAGCTCCAAACTATGAGGCCACGGAGGAGAAGCCATTCGTTGTCGAGACGGATGTTGGGCCAACTGCCTTAGGAGGAGTCCTGATTCAGGCGGATGCTGATGGGAAGGAGAGGCCGCTGAGATTTGAAAGCCGCACCCTCAATACAACTGAAAGAAACTACTCGCAGTTCAAGAAAGAAACGTTGGCGGTGCTCCATTGCCTAAGGACCTTCCGTAATTACATCTTTGGCAGGAGACTCATTTTGAGGGTGGACCCTGCTGCGCTTGCGTGTTCCCTAAAAAGTTATACTCCATCTGACCCAACCATCGCGAGGTGGCTGACCTACATTTGGATGTTTAACTTTGAGTTGAAGAGGATTCCCGGGGACAAGAACAGGGCAGATGGGTTGAGCCGTATCAACTGGGATGGGGCGGGTCAAGAGTCAATTGAGGACACCCCACCAGTTGACAGATTCTTGGATCAGGAGGAGGATGTCCGCCTCCACATAAATGAGTGGTCGCTGAGGGTGCCTAGCTGTGTCACGCATCCTATATGGCTAGCACCAAGGGGGTACGAGCAGAAGGAGGAGTTGGTACTCAAACCCTTCCAGGAAGAAGATCCGTGGGGGAGTAGGGATGTTGGCTGGATGATGAGGTTGGCATTGGCAGGGACACATAGTCTAGCGGAGGAGGTAAGGACGATAGAGAAAGGACCGACCCAAGTAGAGGAGCATGAGCAACTAATGGGAGGGATGTACTTGCTCACCAATACGCTCCTGCAAGGGAACTTTAACCAGAGGAGCGCAGCCATCTCCGAAGAGGGCGAACTTCTCATTTCGGAAAGCCAGGACGACGAGTTCGAAGAGGGAGAGATTAGGGACGCCTTTCGTACTGAGGAGTATGACGGAATTTATCAGGAAAGGGGTTACTCCTGTCGTGCGAAATAAGGGATAGGGACGCAAGTACCAAAGCCCAGAAGATGAGGCATCTCTACGTAGTGAGAGATGGCCATCTGTTCATAAAGCGACAGGTTGGAAACCCCAAGAGGGTCGTATGTGGAAGGAACCAGCAGATCGATGTCATAGCAGCCTTGCACGATGGTATAGCAGGGGGGCACAGAGGGGTTAGTGCCACGTGCGCGAAGATAAGTGAGTTATACCATTGGGATGGAATGCTGACTATGGTCATCAAGTACTGCCAGTCCTGTGTGCCTTGCCAGCAGAGGTCRGCGCAAAGGCSTGGGGAGCCTCTACACCCYAGGTTGGAAAGGGAAGTGGGGGCAGTTGTACACCTGGACCTGTTGTTCATGCCACTTGGGGAGGATGGAAGTAACTATATCTTCGATGCACAGGACAACCTTACTGGGTTTGTGGACGGTCGGGCTATCCGCACAAAAACTGGCCCAGTTTTAGCAAGGTGCATCGAAGAGTACTACTTGCGCTATCCATTTGTCAGAGAGTTTGTGATGGACCGGGGGTCGAAGTTTACTTGTAACGAGGTGCGGACCTTGCTTGCGGGATATGGCGTGGTAGCAAATTGCACTACTGCCGCGCACCCCCAGGCAAACTCGCCTGTGGAGAGGGGGCATAGTACCATCACGAATCTCCTAGCCAAATGGACTGAAGGGAAGCCTAACCAGTGGCCGAAATTCCTGAGAGCAGCATTCTTCGTGGAAAATGTTACAGTGAAAAGGACTACCAAGTATGCGCCAACCACGCTATGGTACGGAAGGCATGCCACCTTTCCCATAGAAAGCTTCATGAAGACGTGGAGGCGCCAGGATCTGGAAGTGAACCTGTCCTTTGAGGAGCTGCTCAATATACGAGCACGGCAGGTGGGGGTCGCTGAAGAAAGGCTACGAAAGGTCGCTGGTCAGGTGGAGAGAAGTCGCATGGAAGACAAGATGAGGTGGGACCAGATGACCCGAATAAGGAAGGATCCACTAAAGGTTGTGGATGTGGTGCTGTTGTATGACTCCTCGCTGGAAAAGCAGTGGTCCAGGAAACTCGACAAACGGTGGTTGGGACCCTATAGGATCGTGCGGTGTGGCGAGTTTGGGGCCTACCAAATTGAGGAGCTGGACGGGGCAGGATGGCAGGACTGGGTATCAGGGACAAGGGTGAAGAAGTTAGTGGCCAGGGAATAGGTAAGGGGCCATGAGACCTCGTTAGGGATAGAGTCTTACCTAGGTGTTACCCAGGTCGGACGGCTAGATAGGTCGGTGATTGGGATGGATGGGTGTGGAATGTATGTGGGATTTCCCTAGGCCGATGGCCCGGTTGCTGACCCTGCTATGTGCATGCTTGTTGTCTCTCGCCTGTTGTGCAGGTCTGACTTTTCGAAGGCAGTCATGCAGAGGGGCGGGAGGGACACACGCCCATGCCAGGGGCCCTAGAGGATAGAGGGAAGGGGCGAGCAGCACGAGCCGCATAGGAGGGAGCCTACGCCTGAGTTTGATGACGACAACATTGAGCTCTTCTTGGACGTATATCGGGACCATGCGGCACAGAGAGGGTGGTCAGTGGCGGAGAGGGTTCACCACTTGAGGGGCATAGGGCGGTTCGAGGAGCCTGTCGCTCAGATATGTGAGGAGGCCCTGACCTGGCCAGACGTGGAGGCCGGGATGCAGAGGTTGAGAGCTTCCCCTAGGGGGCGTGATGGCATGCCCATTCGATTGGAGGAAGGGAACGCAGATGAGTTCATCCCCGCATATGAGCACTATATGTTGAGTCTGGGGGTTGCGCAGGGGGAGTGGGTGCAGGCCCTACTTATCTGGACGAGGCGGGCAGAGAAGCAGGCGGTCAAGCAGATTCAGGAGAGGGCTCGAGACTGGGAGGACTGTCAGGCCCAGCTTAGGAGGGCGTTCGGACGGCCACAGCACGAGAGGCACGAGCCCAGAGTTGAGAGGCGGCGGCGAAGCAAGAGGCCAAGGGAACCGGCACCGAGAGAGGCGGGGCTGGCCAGAGAGGGGAGGGGAGCCCTGGCCCAGCGGGAGGATGAGCCCGTAGAGCCCGCATTGGCAAGGGGGTCGTTCCCTGCTTGTGGCCTCCGGGCGGTTGAGTTTCGGCGGATCACGAGCAAGGAGTTGAGGCCGCCCTCGCCATTGCCATCAACGCAGGAGCTGGACATACCAAGAGAGACGTCGTTCCGAAGCTTGGCGACGCATCTCGATGTATCCCAATGGGAGGCCTCACGGCTGGGAGAGGGCTCGGTTGAGCCGGCGTGCTACGTGCCATTGGAGGAGCCCCTCGACCCTGAGATGGAGACAGGCATGCGAGACCGAGAGGAGCCGCAGGACCCTGAGATGGTAGCCGAGCGGCCAGATCCGGTACGACCTCAGGGGAGAGAGGTGATCACGGTTGGGGACGATACCCCTCCATGCTCCCCAGCTCCAGAGCCAGCACAGCGTTCATGGCCAGAGGGGATTCCTGAACCAGATAGTGAGGAGATCCCGGAGTTTCCCCCTGAGGCCACCACTATACCTGAGCAGGAGGCAGAGGCGGGGAACCAGGGTGTGTGTGAGAGAGCAAGGATGGAGGCGCCCCTTGACTTGCCCTTGGCCACGCAGGCGACCAAGAGCCCAGACATCGAGGAGCCCATTTCAACAGAGTTACCGCCAGTAGTGCCGCACGCGAGCAAAGGAATGGAGGCGGAGGCGTCGACTCCAGGAGACCAGGGGCCGCGAATGGGAGGAACCCCAAGGGAGACCCGCGAAGAGAAGTTCGCCCGAGTGCGGGTCCGCCTGGACGAGATATACGCAAGACAGGCTGAGATGGAGGCGGCGGGGATAGAGCCGACACCGCCGGTTGAGCTCAAGACGAGTGAGCAGAGGATCGACGAGCTATGGGCGTGGTATGAGAGCCAGAGGGATGCGGCCCGCCAGAGGTCACGAGAGGCAGGACAGGCAGGCGGGGAGACGAGTGAGTTGAGAGAGATGGGGGACTTGGGGTTCTCCGCGACCAAGCAGGCGATTGAGCGCATGGATCGGAGGGTATGCGAGACGCCAGTCACATCTTTCCAGTGGTATAATCTGCTCAGCAATGAGCTTAGGGTTAAGGAGTTTGAGGTAGAGCACCTGACTACTCAGCTTGTCGAGGAGAGGGTGAGGAGACAGGCCAGAGAGGTTGAGTGGGAGAGGAGATTTGGGGAGATGGCGGCCACTGTGGATAGGCTCTCAGCAGCCAGGTAGGGCCAGCCGGTGCTGATAGCCAGGGCCGTGGGATGCAGGCCTCGCCGGGTCAGGGAGCAGCGGTGGAGGTCCCTCGACAAGCCGAGCCAATGGAGGAGGCGCCCTTGGACGCAGTTGAGGAGGAAGGTGGTGCGCAGGAGTCGCTTATGGCTATGTCCACGGAGAGGAGAGGTTCGCGCTTGCATGAGCTGGCGGCAGCCATGGGGATAGGCACTCCACAGGAGAGGCCTCAGAGACTCGACGCTCCAGAGCATGCCCCGAGGTTGGGGGAGTTGAGGGCAGAGCTGGGCTCCTAGGCCACAAGGGCCGACTCAGGAGGGCCTGACTCGCGACGGCAACAACAGCAGGAGGTCATGAGTGAGCCCGCCGCTATGGGGGGCTCTCAGCCGTCAGGAGTATGTAGGGATGAGGTGATGATGACAGAGAGGGCGCATGAGGAGGGACCCCGAGAGTTGGCTACGCCAGAGCGCGGGCCAGGGAGTGTGGCTGCACGAGGGGGTGAGGGTGCTGAGGTTATGGAGCCTGGACCTCAGGGCCATGTGGGGTTGCCCTCGGGTCCTAAGGTGACTACTAAGACCGTGGGGACGCCTTCGACATCGAGTTCGCGGGGGAAAAAAAAAAAGATTGCCAAGTGGCGCGATACCTCCTGTTTTTGGTGCAAGGAGGGAGGGCATAGAGCCGTGGACTGTCCAGAGTTCCTTGAGGATAAGGTCGAGGGGCGAGTTGCGGAGGTCGACGGCAAGTTCTATGACAGACAGGGCAGGATAGTGAAGCGAGCTCCAGATGGGGGCAGGGCTCAGTTGTATAGGCAGAACCAGGAGGAATTGTGTAAGTAGGGATCGGTATATCTATATATTGATAGGACGAGGGACCCTTGACACACACAGGGCGGGGTTAGGGGTGTACATGTCTTAAGTCAGTTGAGCGGACCCTAGATGTGTGTGTGCGTAGGGGTGGTAGGATGAGTTTCTATCTGATTGTACATATACGTTTGACTTTTGTTCGCTTGTTTCCTTTTGAGTTTCTTCGTGGGCTACGACCCAGGGGTAGGAATCAGTTGTGCGATATATGAGACCATTTAGTTACATTTGGTTTTGTGATTCAGAAGCTATTGCTGCTCTGAATGGGATTTGGGAATTTATAGCACTCGGGATGTGAGTTTTCCCAGCAAGAGGGGACAGGGGCTGGGTATTCTGTGGGTGTTAGGTGGAGGCTATGTCCCCGAGTGTATTTGGTGAGTGTACAGGGGGGTTATGAGTCCTACTCAGACAGGCGGGGCATTGCGTTGGGTGCTTGTATTCGATTGTTGAGGGAGGCCTTCTACTCCCTTAGTGTACTATGAGTTGAGATCCTATGGGACTTGTCTTGTGACGATCACATTCACTCTCACATGTGTGGATTTATCTCGATGAATGTTTGGCTTTGTGTGAGAGATGTACAGGATACATCTCATGGGCATGATTGTGTAACTTGTAAAGTTGTCTACCCTCCGGTATACTCGTGCGGTCTGCTGCAAGCGGACGAGAAGACAGAGTATAAGGAGGGGAAGTGCAGCCTGTTTGCGAAAACTGTGAGAATCCTACGGGATTGATGGATCTAGGAATTTGCGTGTTCGGTCATACTAAACATCGTTGCCCAAATTGTATAGGGACCCAGAAGGTGGCCCCTCAGTTTGAAGTTGTTTGATGATTAAGACCCCCTTCATGATTCTGGGAGGTGGAAATTATATTGTATGGAGACCCCTCCATGGTTTTGGAAGAGGTCGTGTGAGGAGTCATCCCATACAAAAAGGGGATGGCCAAGAAATCTTTGTGAAAGGCACCCTTCATCAAGTAAGGGTGGGTAAAAGTTGAATGGTGTGGAAAGCATTGTCTGCGCTGATAAAGTCTGACGAGAGGGGACCATGTTTGATTGAAATGTTTGAGAAGGGCAAGAGATGCCTCAGGGTGGGCGACGACTGACTGTGATCAAGTCAGGAGTCGCGGCCTTGTGGATCCGGCGGGGAGATTGTTTGTGACTGAGCGAAGGATGTCGTGCCTATTATTGGAGGGTCGGTAAATGCCTTCAGACCCCTGGGTGGTCCCGCAGCGGCAGTGAATTGTTTGTGATGCCCCGACGGGCCACCTGTGCTAATTCTGTGACATATTTGAGGGAATACCAAGCTAACGGTAAAGTTTAGTGCCACCTAGACGCAACCCCTGGTGGATGGCTGCTAGCCGGCACAACCTGGCTGCGGGCCCGCAAGGTAAGAGTTTAAGGGGAGTTTTTCGCGGGATAAGAGTCGAGTTCTTTGGAGACCCTGATTGATTGATTATCAGGGACATACCTGTCGTTGTATAACCAGCGGGAGGGTATCGCCGCTAAGGTAACAATGTGGTGGGCCGTAGACCTGGCCCGATCAGCCAGGCTACGGTGGGCCCAGATGGGGACCTGGCATTTCTGTCCTAGACTGCAGAAAAGCCCGAGAGAGGCTACAAGCTTACACGTGTGTACTTTGTTTGACTATGAGGAATTTGTTGAAGAAGGCAAAAAATGCCTTCATAGGTCCCATTCGAAGCCCGCGTCCCTAGTTATGGCTCTGTTTACGAGAAAGAGGCTAACTGGGACACCCAACGAGAAGCCGGCGGTTGTCTACGACGGAGGGGAAGAGGATGGTTTGAGGGCCTTTGGAACTTATGCTGTAGTGTTGATGCGTAATACACCGGCATCCTGGTGTCAGGACAATGGAGACCCAGGTTGAAACCTTGGCAGCATATAGTTGTGTTGGCACGGTTTGATGGAGGCCTCAACCCCAAGTCTGTCGGCTAATCGGATTGGTTCTGATCTCGTCAGCATTTGGAATGCGAGGGATTCTATAGCTTTTTTATCTGGCGACGCGGCGGGTAGGTCGCTTAATATGGTCCGGTAAGCAGTCGGCGCGAATACCCTTACAAGGGTATCCGCCCTGGCTTTTGCAATTGACAGAAAGGCTTGGTTAACCTGGATCTTGAGTGCCCGTGCGGGAAAATGTGAGGGTCGCCCGCACGTAGGCAAGGGTCTGCCCTGTCCCGGTAGAGGGTACGTGGGCGCGCAAGTTTAAGGCGCGCGTGTGATTCTTTCTATTTTAAGATTAGTCGCGACACCGGCATAACCATCAGGCTTGTTTTGTTATTGATTAAATTAAGGGTTAAAAGGTCCGCGTTCATTTATTGCGCTCGGCCGGCGGTGGGCCCGACATGTGAAAAGGAGTGGATGGTGGTCGCGACGCGACGCGCGCAAGACGGTGCGGATACTCGGCGGTGGCGCTCACGGTTGAGGAGGGGAGAGCGGTCGGGGCGGTATTTTGGCCTGGAACGCCGCGCGGCACCACTTTATGTAGGAAACCGCGCCTGTTGGTTACAGGCTTGGGCTCAGCCCTATAGGTTACGGCATTGGGGTTGCATGGCAGAGGTACGAGGTTCGAGTTCGGCGGAAGGCGACGCAGGAGCAATGGAGCGGTGAGAAGAAAAGGGGTCGAGGGCTCCGCGGGACTATCCCCCTTTTTTCTTTTCGTGTTTGAGGGAGCCCTACCACGGACCAGCGCCGCGAGGCTACGGGAGCTTTGGCAGGGCCCGCGGCTCGCTCCCCCCTTCAAACAATCCCCCACCCTTGCTTTTTCGTCTTTATTTCTGAGGGTACTTAAACCCCATTGAGACTAGGGCTGAGGGCTGCCAAAAGGAAAAGGGGGGGGGGGCGTCTGCTGTAGTCAGGTCTCCCCGAGGCACTCATCAACGCGAGGGCGACACGAGGGGGGTCTGCATGGTTGGCCAGGTAAGGGTGACGGAGGCAGACCCCGTGAGTGGACCTGGGACGCTAGGCGACCAGGTTCGCGTGAGGGAGTAAGGACGAGGGACTGGATCCAGCAGGGGACCAGTGTTTGGAGTTGCTCCAGCCGCGAGGAGCCGCGGGCACTATCCTGGGTGGCGTCAAAATCGAATCGGTAGATTCGCAAGATAACTGCGTCAAGGGGTAGCACCCACAAACAGAGAATGACCCCGGCCGCTAGATAGGCCGGGTACGTGCAAACAAGGGGTTGTTTGGGCTCGTAGGGTTGCCCCATGACCTATGACCAAGCGGGGACATGAGGTGGGTGCGGTCTGAATCCGGCCTCGAGAAAGGGCTACGTCCATGCGAAGGAGGCCATAGAGAGGAGTGGCGTGAGGGCGCGTGGAAGCCCGAAAGTGCTGATGCGGGAAAGTCCTCCGGTGCCCCGAGAGATCGGATCTGTATAGGAAAGATCTGCGGGGCCAACAGTATAGAGGCCGGGGACGAACCTGGATGGAGGACGGGTTAGGAACAAGCGGAGGAACTGGGAGACCTGTGAAGGGTGGGGTAATGGAGAGAAGATTTGCATGGCCCCAGCGTGAGGCCGGCCCGCATAAGGTCCGAAGCGCGGACTAGGTGCATGCGCAATGGCAAGGCGGCTTTGGCCGCGTGAACATTGAAGTGTCAGGCGGGGGGCATCCGTTAAAATCGGAATGATACAGGGAGGATTAGTTTGGCCGCAGCGTAAGGCTGAGACGCATAACCCCCAAAAGGAGGCCGGGTTCACGCGAGAGTAGTAGGGTAGCGGGGGTATTGCCGCGGGAGGGACCTTTTGAGGAGGATCCGATACACCGAGGAGGATCCGCATGGCCTCTACATAAGTGTGGCATATGAAAGAGGTCCGGGAATGAACCCGGACGCGAACCGGGTTAGGGGAGTGCAACAGGCAAAAAGGGGAGGAGGAGGATTTGTCGGTCACTGTGCAGGGATGGGGCACAAAAAAACGGAATGAACCTGGGCGCAGGTGGCACCGGGTACGGATAAGAAAAAAGGAGCGAAGGGCGGAACAGGTTGCCCCGCGGTCAGACTCGCCCGACCGCTGCCTGTTGTGCCAGCAACCGAGGACCGGTCAGCGCAAAGTCCTTCGGGGTAAGGAAGATTGGCTGGCCAGCGTGTGTGGGGGCATACATAAACGGGGGGATGACTCGGACCCCGGGGCTGTCACTCTGTTCRCGTAGCTYGGCTTCGTCGCGACACACTCCGGGCGCACCGACGAGAAGTGGCGTTGGTGAGAGGGAGAGCGGAGCGAAGTAGGSAATAGCGAAGGCGAGGCGACGGGTTGTGAAGAGAAAGGGGCGAGCTGCGGGCGATGAGACAGGCGACGAAAGGGCGACGRAGGTAGTTGAAATGAGCGAACGGACCGGGACGGGTGGTCGGGCCGGGTGCATTCGGAGCCGAAGGTGGTGAAGAAGATGGGGTGGGTACAAATGTGGCGCGAGGAGTAAGGCGCTCCCCGACCGTTTCAAAAGGGACRAGAGCAAGAGAGGGGGGGGCAAGCTGGAGGTTYCGAAGGTGGGCAACACCGAGTC